GTTCATGACATATGCGTAAGTATTCAGCATCTCAGTGATATCTCAAGTATCTTAAAATTTTCACTTTTAAGCAGTTAAAAAAGAAGATTGTATGTAGAAATCAGAGCACATAAGTTAAAGCTTAGCTGTAAGTTAGCTGCTAATTAAGTTTTAGTTTTCCTTTACATTGTGATATATAGTTCTTATTGATATGTGCTTATATTTATATACATTAATGTAACACTTCAAAAAGAGATTAATTTTCCACTTAACTGGTGTCAACAGGAGAGACTAATAAACAAACTCAAAACAAAATGAGTTTGATTGCTTATCTTCTGCATTTCTAATGACAGTTATAAGTAGATGGTAACTTCATAATATATTAATAGTCAATATTCTAACTAATAGATTATTTCCAAAGGAGTATTAGATGGAGCTACTCATATTTCCTTCTACATTGTCAAGGCAGCATGTTGATTGTTATGGGGAAGGAAAAGCAATATTTTCAGTAATTTCAATAGATCATATTAAAATGATGGAAATCTAGTAGACACATTGCATGGTAATGGTAATTAAACATTTAATTATCATAAGAACTAGCATCTCATTTTCATGAATTTTACTTAAATTAACCCTGTTAAATATCCTTGTCTTTGAAGCCTGTTTTCTTTGAGTTGCCTGCTGGACATTGTGTTGCTGTATCTTTGCCATGTTTAATATCAATGACATTTTTAATTTGTTTCTCCTTGTGATTGATTAGAATAAGACTTTGAAAGAAAACTGATCCTGAAACCCTGCAACTAGACTAAATCAGAGTCTTCTCTTTGATATCTTTCCGTTAAATTCTGGGAATTGTAGTATATGTGTATCTAACAACTGGACTCCATTTCACTTTTTCTGCATTTTATACCTTTCACTCTAAATTTTTATGAGCCAGAAATCACTAAACTTTCAAGATGTGTAGTTCCAGTGTCAGTCAGAATTTTGGTATTTAGAGTTGTACATTTTTTAGTATTATGTCAAAAATATTTAATACTACAGTCTTATTCCTTATTTTCTTTGCTTACTTGACGTGTTCTTTTCTCCTCCCTCTCTCCCTCTTTTTCCTTTCATAACATTTGCTCAACTGCCTGAGAATAAATATATTAATAATATGTGAGCACAGCACTCAAGAATAAAAATGTTAAAGTTAGCAAGAAGAATTTGAGTACTATAGAAGTTGTAGTTGGGAAAATAATTTCACAGAGATGGAGCAACTTAGTTGTGCTCTGCTGGTCTACTCAGGAAACTAATGGACCAAAATGACTCTAGCAAAGGAAGAAGTACTGAAAGAGGACAGGGACAATTTGGAGGGAGACCTTTGACATTGCCAGGGCTTTGGACTTTACTCAGAGGCTTGGAATGTCCTATGGGCTACCAGTAAAAGGTTTCAAGCCAGAAGAAAATGCCTGATTAGATTTATGTTTGCAAAAGATCATTCATGCAGTAGATTGGAGAGTAGAGTGGAAAAATCATTTGGGAAATAAGACGTTTGTAATTACTTTAAAAATATGAAGGCAGAACTAATACAGATAGCTAATTGCTTCACAATCTCTGATGTAAGCTACTAAGATTTTAAAAAAAGGAAAAAAAGAAGCTGCTATTGTAAGAAAATGGATATGTATGTGTGAAAGAAAAAAGGATTTTTTCACATATATTCAATTTTAAACACCTGAGGCTATTATAACCAAATGTTTTAGGTACACGTGTTGAGCTAGTTGCCTGTTCTTTGAGAACCTATTAAGATGTTTCTTTTGGTCCCCTTTCTTCTATGTTTTTCATAAGACCAATCTCTTGAGTTTCTAAATTTTTCATATATTTGCTTTTTGTGTATTATTTCACTTTTACTGTATTTTTATCTACCATTGCTATTGTTTTTAGCTTGAATAGTTTGGACTCTTATACATGAGAGATAGAATATACCAATATATGTCTGTTTTAAATAGCATGCTATATTTTATTTATTTATTTATTTATTTTGTCGGTCGTGGGGCCTGAGCTCTGGGCCTGGGCGCTGTCCCTCAACTCTTTAGCTCAAGGCTAGTGCTCTACCACTTGAGCCACAGTGCAACTTCTGTTTTGTTTTGTTTTTATGTGGTGCTGAGGAATCGAACCCAGGGCCTCATGTATGCAAAGCAAGCACTCTACCACTGAGCCACCTTCCTAGCTGCATGCTATATTTTAATATAGAATGATTTAATGTTCAATATAGAACAGAGTTTATAATAAATGTTTTGTGTAAGATATTAGCAAACTGTGATTTGTTTTTCTACACAACCCACGGAGATATTAATACTGCATGATAACACAATATAAATATTATCCTTTTAAAAATGTATTTCTGTATGTATCTTTGAAATAAGGTATTACTGTGTTATGTAGGCTGACCTTAAGCTCTTGGGTTCATGTGCCCAGACTGAGCTCAGCAATCCTCCTGTATCAGCCTCCTGAATGCTGGCACCACAGGCATTGGTTACTGCTAGCTTAACATTATTTTTCTTGGAGGTTCTTTATGATATATGAAATCTAGGCTTTTTATGATATACCAGCAAATATGCCTATAATATTCTGTTTTGAAATTTTAAAGAAGAAACTATAATTTAGATGAAAAAAATTTCTCAAACTTATTTCACTATCAGTAGTCTAGTTAGGGGTTGAACCAGGGTGTCTGTGCTTGCTTCTGTTAAAGGACCACATTCCTTAAGGGTTACATCCAGAAAAGTCTCCTTTCCTTAAACTTGAAATTTTTTTCATTGTCTTCTAAAATATGATATTAGTTTATTTCTTTTTTCCATTTTTAGTTCCACAAATACTTAATTTTTATTCCATTTTTAATTATAAAAATATGACATGACTATTATAATGAATTCAAAATTTAATAAAGTCAATTTCTCTTTCTAGATTTCATTCTCCTAAGATAACCACTTCCAATAATTTTCTCTGTACAGAATCAGACTTTTCTTATGAAAGCATTCACATGTACATAATTTTAATGCTTTTATAATGTAAGAAGACAAAATGTTACACTGTATCTTCCTCTTTTTCTCACATTATAATGTTTTGTCTGTCCATGTTCAGACATATTGATTTATTTAAGTTGTCTTATGAGGATAAAGTTTTATTCAAAGGCTCTCAATTTATTTAAGGAAGAGTAATGCTACCACAAAGTTGCAATATTATATTTGAAAGTGATTATTTGTATTATTTTATTTCTGCCTTTGCCATTTTTTGTTTTACTTTACTTTTATTTTACCTTCCTACCTTTCATTTTTCATTCCTCTCTTCTTATTTGTTTTATTATTTATTTTTTATTGTTTTATTTCTTATTGCTTAATACTTACTTGTTTTAGCTCTTAAGCTTATTTATTTTTGAGCAGTCTCTCCCTCTGTTCTCTTCTGGACACCAGTGATCACACACCTGTAATTATCACTACTGAGATTTGAGGATTGCCAGCCTAGGCAGGAAAGTCCTTGAGACATTTACCTTCAATTAACCACCAAAAAGGCAAAGGTAGAGCTGTATCTTAAATTATAGAGTGCCAGCCTTGCCAGCCTTAAGCAAAAAAACTAAGGGACAGCACCCAGGCACTAAACAATGTACCCAGCTTCTAGATCCAGACTACCTAGAATTCAATCTTAGCTCTGACATTTATTCCAGATGTCAACTTTGGAACAAACTGGATTTGGTTACATACTGCAGACACTCAGAAGGCTGAAAAGGGGATGGATGTTGATTTCAGTGAAAGCCTGAGCTACATAGCCAACACCTTGTAAAATAGTATAGGACCCTGTCTGTTTTTCTTAGTCACAGACAACTTTTATTGCTTTGCAACAGGGGTGTTTTTTTGTTTGTTTGTTTGTTTTTGTAGGTCATGGGGCTTGAACTCTGGGCTTGGGCGTTGTTCCTGAGCTCTTCAGCTCAAGGCTAGTGCTCTACTACTTGAGCCACAGCACCACTTCCAGTTTTTTAGTGGTTAATTGGAGGTAAGAGTCTTCACGGACTTTCTTGCTCAGGCTGGCTTTGAACTGTGATTCTCAGATCTCAGACTCCTGAGTAGCTACGATTACAAGCATGAGCCACTGGCGCCCGGCCATTAGGAGTGTTTTTATTTTGAATACCTACTGAGTATTTATCTGAAACATATATGCTTAAATTAACATTATGAAAACCAAAAACGACCTTTCCAGAAAAACAATACTGAATTTTTCAAAGGAAACAAATATCTAGCCATTTTGTCTACTTTATTCATTAGTAAATTTCTAACTGTTCCAACTAGTATTCTAAAAGAAAATTTTATATGAAAGCAGTAAATTATAGTTAGTCTACACAATAGTACTTATAACAAATAGGAAGAGAAGATAAGGCTCACATAAAAATAGGGTAGAGGTCTGTTTTGACTAATCACTTCCTTGTTATCATTCAGTAAAATCGGAGAATCAAGTTTGTTTAGGTCTTTATAAATCCCATGGTCTGTGCTGCCTTCCATAACTGAAATGGACATTCTGAACATTCTAGACAGAAAAGCATTTCTGAGATAGATTCTGTGATAGATTCATTTTGTTAGAGGCAATTCATTTTACTGATTACCAATTTAAATATGCAAACACTGTATCTTGCATGATATATACAAAGGGGCATTTAAACAGTACAAACAATTATGTTTTTAAAATAACGACAAAATAACACATTGCATTTTCATTTCCTACTAAAAATTACTGGCAAATTAATTAGTTGCAAAATAGGTGATTATAAAAATTAAAAAGTAAAGCTGTTGAAAGCTCATGGCTTCTCAGAGAAAGGTTAAGTTTTAAAATACAGCTCATGATTGCTGGAATGTTTTAATTTGGTGTTTTAATTTTATTTAAAGTGACATTTCAATTATAATTATCATTTTAGAAGATATTAAAAATTAAGGTTAACAGGTTGAATTCTTATAGAGTTACGTTATATACTAACGACATATTTGCCATTTTTTTTTTAGTATTGTAAATGATTTTAGAAAATGGGAGAACGATGCAGCAGTTAAAATCCAGAGCTGGTTTCGAGGATGTCAAGTTCGAGCATATATCAGGTATATGGATTTTGTCATACCAATTTCAGCTGTAACATAGAATTCATTCCTTAGAAAATGTCATTTATTCAAGGTGTGCTTATTTCTGATTATTTTATTCATAGAGAAGTTATCACATTGTGTGATATCCTTTAAAAGAAATATGTAGCACTTTTAAGCTTTTTAAAAACTAAAACCTAAATTATATCGACCCTATATGTACTTTAAACAGTTCTCAGTATCTTGAGTGTACTTGATAAGATCATTTTCCCCAAATGTCATAGGAAGTGACAATGACTGGGGCTATATTTCTAACAATGAGTTCATAGTGGAGTAAGAAAGGTGGGGTGTGAAAGAAGCTATTCTAGTCTCCAACAGTTGATAGACCAAAGCAAATGGTGCCCAATTGATATCATTTTACTTATGCAAAGAGGTGGTTCATATTAATTCTTCTGGATTTTCTTTATTACCCCAATATTTCCTGTTTTTCTTTATTTTGGAAAAGAAATATTGTCCTTGATAACATAGAGAAAGGTATATGCTTAAACCATTAAAATTCAGCAGGCTGGGAATCACACTTTATAATTTCTCTTCATAACTCAGTAGAAGCCAAATGTGCAAATTTCAAGCATGAAGATTAGGCTTCTCGTTTGGACCCTAAACCAAGAAAGTGATAGAAAAAAATACTTTTTAATTCAGCAGACCAGCATACTATTGACAAACTGAAGAATATAAGAAAACAGTGAAGAGGGAAACTATTTTGATTATTTTTAAGTATTGAAGAATTTTTTAAGTATTTATCATGATTTAAATCCATAAACCTTGTAGTTTAATAAATAATGAAAAGTATTTGGAATGAGCTAGCATTGAATTACAACCCCAAAGAAACAATGAGTTCTTATCTGTGATTTTTCATTGTTCTAGAAATTAATTGTTCTGTCTCAGAATAACTCATAATGTCTTAAAAGTACATGAAACTTGGCTTTGAATTTGGTCTCTTCAATGACAAGAAAGAGTATATTTAAGCAAATAATTAAGAGACATTGTGTGTCAATGAAATTATGCTAACAAACATTTCTTATCCCAGGTATTTACACAGAATAGCAACGATTATTCAAAAGTGGTGGAGAGGTTACTTAGGCAGAAAACAATTTCAAGTTCTTGTCGAGGTAAATATAAAATTTATATACATTTGCTAGCATTGGGGTTATTTAACATATGGTAATTTATTTAAGTTGCATTTACATAGAATTTAGAGAAGTTCAAAATGATAAATATTTACTTAAGAACTGTTATGGTTTGGATATAAATTGTTACACAAAAGCTCACACATTGACATCTCAGAAAGAGGCGATACTTTGGGAGTTTCTGGAAGTCTTAGGAAGTGGACCCTAGCTGGAGCATGCTGTTGAAGGCTGAATTTTACTTCAGTCTTCTCTGTTTCCTGGCTATCAACTATGTTCCTCCACTTTCCCCAACCCCCCACCATGGGCCTAGAAATAATGCATTAAATTGACCATGTATTTTGTAACCTATGGGATTGTGAGCCACAATAAGTTGACTTTATTTGGTATTTGGTCTCAGAGATGACTAACACAAGGACAAAGTTGGAGTAGATTATTGGCAAGGAGTCTCTTCTGAGAAGCCTTTCCTGATTTACTGTGGATAGCTAACTTTTCTGTACCCAAACTATCTGGTAGATTTATTTGGTTTTACATGTAACATGCATTTGTACGCACTTGCAATATATACTAGATGGTGAAGGTTTTGTGAATAGGTACTATGTTCATTTTTGCATCACCAACATTTTGGAGTAAAAAAAAGTCAATAATATAAGGATGCTAAAATTGATAGAAGCAACAATAAACCTTCCTTTCTACTCTCTCAAGGACTTCCTACTAAATTTTGTATTATAGAAATAGATAAAATTTAAGTTAGTCATAATGCAAGGTTTTGGAGACAGCTTAGTTGCTAAAGTGCTATCAAATGAACAAAAGCATCAGGTACCGAGTTTGAGTCCAAGTCTTAGAACTAAAAAATAAAATTTCAAAGTGGATTTTTATAGAAAATTACACATATTTATGAATATACCACTGATGTATTTGAAATCAATATTACTAGAAAGCAACAAAAGATCATATGGCATCTACCACCTATACTAGTCTTTTTATTAACCTATTTAACAAGCATTTTGTATAAATTATTCAATTTGTATTTCATGAGGCTCATTAAAAGTTAACTATTACAGGATGCTTGTAGCAAGTTAGAAAACTCTCATACACTTGTTATGAATACCTTATGCTATATTTCATATACACAGATATCTAAAATTGCTAAACTTTCTATACACAATGTGTACATTGTCTGATAACTGCGAACATCTTATACTTAATTCCTGAAAGGACAAGAACAATGGTTCTTAGGGTGGTATTTTAGTACATTGATGACTGGCACATGGTCGAAATTCAGTTAACCCATCAATGACTCACAGAACAAGCACAAATTCTACAATATACTTACTGTGTCACTGATACTCCTTTATCAGGTAGAAAATAAATATTGAACCTAATTAGTAGTGTTGCATCTCCTTTTGTTAGCTTTACTGACCCGATTTTGGTGAAAAGCATCATGTAAAACACAGCATTTTGAACTCACAAATCAAACATCTCTATTTCTGTATTTGCTTAACATTTTAGGAAGGAAAAATGGAGAAATATAGTTACCAGTACATAGTTACTTTAGGAATTTTATCTATCCTGGCTTGTGATTTTCTACCGTTATTTTCTCAAGTTGAATGCCCTGGCATTTTAGTAATACAATCTGGTATACATTTAACAACTCTTATAATTTATTTGAGGTTGAATGAGACAAATAATTTCTTTAGCCACAGAAGCTACTCGATATCCCAGCTGAACTTAATTACACTTTTTTTAGTAAAGAATTTTATTTCATATTTGAGCCCATTTTGTTCTTTAAAATGGAAATATATGATCAAATATCAGTGCTTCTGTCTTTTGTCAATTGTCTATTGATACCATATTTTCCCATTTTTCTTTCTAGTATGGTTTTTAAATTCACTGTAATTCTGCCAGCCTTTTAGGATATTGAAAAGGTTAGGCTTATAGAATAGTTATAGAAATAGTACAAACGACTGTCATATAGTTATCACTCAGTTACATGAAGACTTTTTCTATTGTTTTGTCTCTTCTTTTATCTCTCTATACATTGTTTTTCATAATTTGGCACAAGGTTGCAGAACCAGTGTAAATATAATACATTTATAATATATATAAATATAATACATAACTAATCCTAAAAATCAAGAACTTGGCTATGCTAGGTGCTCTCACATGTGTAATACTAGACTGAGATCTGAGAATTGTGGTTGGAAACCAGCCTAGGCAGGAAGATCTGTGAGACTCCTATCTCCCATTAATCACCACAAAGCTTGAATTAGAGCTGTGGCTTAAGTGTAGTGTGCTAGCCTCGGAGAGCTCAGGGGAAAAACCCAGGCCGTGTGTGTGTGTGTGTGTGTGTGTGTGTGTGTGTGTGTGTGTGTGTGCGTGTGCGTGTGTGTGTGTGTGTGTGTGTGTGTAGGGCCTCCCACTTGCTCAGCTTGCTTGGTAGTCTAGTGATCTACAGATGAAACAACTCCAGCCCAGATTCTTTGATTGTTATTTTGGAGAATGGAGTCCAGTAAACTTTTCTGTGCTGGTTGACCTTGAACCTCCGATCCTTCAGATCTCCACCACCTTCGAGTAGCTAGGATTACAAAGCCATGAGCATCTGGTCCAGGCTATTTTATAATCTTCATATTTTCATTCACTTTCCTAATACTATTTCTGCCAAAAATGTTTTCCATGATCCAAAAGAACTTCACATTTCACAGTCTCTAGTTACTTTTAATCAACAATAGTTAATTTTTCAGTCTGCCCTTGCTTTTCATGCTCCTATTTTTAGAATAATCGATTAATTAATTAATTAGTGAATCAAGTAACTCTTACAGTTATGATTCTGAGGATCAAACCAAACATCTGTGCAAGCTAGGAAAGCATTCTACCAAAGTTACATCCCAGCCTCCTGTCCCCATTATTTTTATAATTTTGAGATTAAGTGATTACATAAATTTCACAAATTTCACAGTATTTTGGGATAGTGATCTTAATTAAAGTCACAAACACATCTTAACTTTCATGAGGCTCACTATCATTATCATGGTCTATAAAACTACAAAATTTGACATTATAGCTATTTCTTCCAAATCAGGTGATATGTCAATGTCTTTCCTGTTGCTTAGTGTAGGCTGTTCCCTCTTTCTCTCTCATTCCTCCCTCCCATCACTGCCCTTGAATTGCTTAGTTCATTTTCATCAATGTGCAGTGCAGCTGATTGGCCCCTCTGTTGTGCTTCCCTCTGATTCTGTGCCCTCCTTCTAGCTTCCCTCAGATGTGCACATGTATATACCATATATAAGGTCAAGAACATGGAGTCATCTAGAAATGATACAAGTAAAGGTCCTTTGTTTCTTGAATTCTGTTTACTTTGTCATATCTCCTTTCATTTTGAATTTAACATCCTTATATCAAGGCGATGTGCCGTCTGTCTCTCTGATTTTGGCTTACCTAACTCAACATGATTTGTTCTAGTTCCATCCATTTCCCTGTGAATTCCATTGTTTTGTCCTTTCTAGTGGCTGTGTAATAATCCATTGTATATGGGTACCCGAATTTTTGGATCCATTCATCTGCAGTGGGGCATCTGGGTTTGTTTCCATATCTTGGCCATTGTGAAGAGTGCAGCAATGAACATGGGAGGTGCATGTGTCCTTGTATCCTGGTGCTTGTTGGGTCCCCATTGTTTCTGATGAGCAATCTTCCACTTATTTTCCAGGTGGCTTCTCAGCTTTACTTTCTTGTTCTTTACTTTCTTGTACTTGATTGTTGATGTTAACTTTGATGGGTTAATGTGATGTTTCTCAGCTTTCTTACCATAAATTTTTGTTTTCCTGCCTTGAAGGAAGAATTTAAAGATTGTGAATATGTCTTATTCATTATACTTTTGCATACTAAACATAGCATTCATTGATGATACTTGTCATAGTCAATTGTTATTATATTTATCAGTTACTTTCTAATTCCACAGTTTCTTACATTTCCTCATCAGCATTCTACTATAGAATCTTTATTGTACTCTTATTTATTCATTTATTTAAACTGAACTCATGGATTCCTATTTTCTTCAATGGGTTTTAATCAGTTATTTTCACTAATTGGTTTCATGCTCACACTCCTAGATCTTGCCAATAGGAGCTTTTCAAGACAATCAAATTACTTAAACAGAATTATCGAGGAGGCAATATATTTTATATGGAGTAAGTGGTGATTATTGATGTTTGTCAATAACATAGACAGAAAATTGGGTATATTCAACCCATTCATCATGTGATTATGAGATTTAATTGAAATATACATATATGTATATACATACATATTTCAATGACTATTCTAATAATACTGCAACTGTTGAAATTATATTTTTAAATTGTATGTAAGCAATAACTTATCTATGAAATTTTGTTTTGTGACTTGGCATCTCAAATGTATGAAGTCAAAAGGATTCATTCAGGATGATCATCAAATAACCCTCCTAATTAAGATCTAAATATCTTTTTTTTGTGGGTCATGGGGCTTGATCTATGGGCCTGGGCTCTGTCCTTGAGCTCTTCAGCCCAAGGCTAGTGCTCTACCACTTGAGCCACAGCACCACTTCTGGCTTTCTGGTGGCTAAATGGAGATAAGGATCTCATGGATTTTTCCTGCCTGAGCTGGCTTTGAACCTCATCCTCCTGAGTAGCTAGGATTACATGTGTAAGCCACCAGGGCCTGGCTGAAATATCATTTAATCATTTGAAAGAAGTCAAACTATGGTGGTTTAAGGTTTAAATTCCTTTCAAAGAGATCTGTTTTATTTATATCAGTACTTGCAATAGGTATGAAACATAATCATATGGATCTTAATAAATTTTCTTCGAGTAAGACTAAAAGAGCTCTTATTTACTAGTTGCCTAGTGTGAGTGAACTTTTGCACTAAGCTTTTTGCATACCTAAATTAAGTAGCCTTCAGCCAAGCCTATGACATCATTGCTATTTTATGATGAAGACTTGGGCTC